TAGTGACGTTTTAAGGACCGTGCTAAGCACGACCCACGAAGGTTAATTTGGGTATTTTTAGAAAAATAAGAGTGCCATCATGTTTTATAGTTCAGTGGATTTTCAAAATACAAAATTCTAATAACTAAAAATAAAAGTACAATGTTATAATGTTATTATAAGGGAAAAATTGAAACAATAATGTTAGAATCGGATTACAACGCCCAAAAAAATTCAAAACATTTAATAAAACACCTAGTATTATGTAAGAAGATGTTAAAATTTAATGAGAAAGACTAATGTTGTGGTCATAACTTGTATAATTGGGTAGATTTTGAAATTACAACACTATAATAATGAAGTAAGACGCTATAATAAGCAAATCATGAATGTTGTTATTTCTTGCAGTTAGCTCAATATTCCATTTTCTTATGAATTGTTGCAAAGGGTGATCTGCAGTATGCTTGCATAAATAGAGTTAAGGTGAGCACAATTCTTTGCAGATGCAACAAACATGCACTAAAAACTTATATGTAAGAAAATTCTTACTCTTTTTCTCTGCTAAGCATAATTGTCAATAAGTTAAGCTTTTTATAAGTTCTTGTAATGACTTTTTTTCTCCATAGTGTAATGTTATAAACAATTAAAATATGAAAAAGATAAGTAAATGTTCATTTCAACAGTTTCCAATCAAATGGAAATTAAAAAATTAAAGGAACTTTAATGCAAGCACCATACTGGATCAACAACAAAACTAAATAAATCAAATAGCTTCCAAAAATTAAAACAAAATATTAGAAAACTCATGCAGGGCATTAAAGTTATAATTTTATGCCGAAAACTTCAAAACCCTAATGCAAATAGAAAAAAGGTTATGAGACTTCAAAATTTAAACATGAAATATATAAAGAAAACATCAAAACTTAATTGTTGTAAAAACCATGATTTTGTACAACAAAAGCATTGGGATTATTTGCATTCACATCATTTCTGATTCCACCACCACCCATACATCAGAGCATTTGAACCAAAATTAGACACCTTGTTGAGGGATTCAACAAATCAGGACTCCAAAAGTAAAAACTCTATCCAAAAATTTGAATTCATATATTCTAATCATGAGATTGGAAAAATAGGAAATGTACATTCAAATTGATGACATGTCTATTATGCCCCAGGATCTTTTGTAGGAGTTGTTGCTCAACTTTTCCACATATAATTGCCTGTGGATAAAAAAACATATAAACTAAATACGATAATAATAGTATTCCCTCAATCATTATGGAAAACAATTTTGAGTTATATGACGTCAACTAAGAGTATGTAAGAGCATTGTAACAGTCTAGGTCTGATTTAGCATAGAATGCAATGGAATTGAGGATAGAATGGAATGGAATTACTTATAACTGGATGATTGAATGGAATGATTACAAAGGAACCCTAGCATTCCCAATAAGAACATAGTTCTAACAATCAAACAATCGATACCTAACTAACTTCCAATACCTTTTATTTATACTAACCTAATAACTAAAATAACAAGAGAAAAGGCCTATAGACCCCTTAACCCAAGCGTTGACATGTTTACTCTCCTATTATTTCCATATCTAATCCATATCTGAGGTACACCAAGCACACAAGTTGATTTTCTCATAATTACGACACCTTCATGAAGAGGTAATTGAGAAAACAAGAAAGAAAGATAAGATAACAAAATTTAATTTCTAAATAAATATGAAGCTCGCCATAGATAGTCCTCCATGACAAGATCTCGAAAAGGTAATGAAAAAATTCCCAATAAGAAAGAAGAAGGTTAAGTTGAAAGATCAATCCCTTAATCTTGAACTAAATCAGCTTAATTTCTGTAAGTAATAATACAATATTGTTACCTCATCTGATTATGCAATGATGGAACATGTTTGATTAATACATCCAACATCCCTGACATTCCCATCGTCTATAACACAAAAAACATACATAAATTTCTATTAGGATGATAATATATTAAGAATATTGATAAACATTTTAAAAAATTGGCAAAGGACCAAAGCTTACTACACTATCCTATAACCCATATTTAGAGGCTATTTATTAGATGGCAAAGGAAAAAAATAGCTTTAAAATTTTTATTTACAGTTAAGTATTGACTTGGTATTCTTATCAAACAACTGGTGTGCATTGTTGCCCAGTGTCTAACAAATGAAAACTAAAACTTAATATCTTGTGCGTAACTCAAATCCAACAAAATAGTTTGATAGGGGGAGTATACCTTCACCTGGCCACCAAAAGTATTAGATGCAAACGACATTTTATAACACAAAATCATTTGCACTTCACAACCATACCAAATGGGATGACGAGCCCCAAACAATTCAACTTGGAGTGAAACCCAATAACACATTGAAGGGAAGAAAGAAACTAAAATTAATGAAAAGAAACTTACCAGTTGGGATAACATACAACAAACTCTGGAAGCAAGCAAGACACGTTTAGCAATTTAGACCCAATTATATGGTACCTGATTCTGATTTAGGGCTCTTGGCAGTCGATGGAGAAATCAGACTGATACCTAATTGAAATTAGTTTAAATCCTAAAAACACAACTAACGAGAGACATATGAAATTACACAGACCTTAAATACAGAATGAAGATAAAGTCTGCTTGAAGAGGAAGTCAAATGAAGTTGGCGTGAAGAAGAAGTCAAGAGGGTGACTTAGCCGCAATCAGGGGGAGGTGGCAGTAAAAGGAAATCCAATAGTGGCAATCAGCTTTGGGAAACAACACCATCAAGAAGAAAAACCCACCTCCAAGTCTTCTGCATCATCGTGAGGTCAGGCTGACCAGAAGCAAGCAGGCAAGATGCTTTCATCGGCAGCCAAACGATGTCGTTTCTGTAATCCCAATGTCCCGTTAGACTGATGTGGGGCTAAGAGGAGTTTAAGCAGGCAGGCAGCTTACTACCAAATGACCGAGACATGAGGAGGGTCGGTGGGGAAGTTTCTCAAATACGTGGATAGCTTAATGTTGTACAAAAGGGTTTCACATATAGGTATATGATATATAAAAGTCAACAGAATATACACAAAACACTAACGGATATTTCTCACATTTCAATAGTTATTATATCCTTCAAATATTTAATAATCAGGGTCGGTCCTGACAGTGGGCAACCTAGGCAACCGCCTAGGGCCTACAACTCTAGGGGGCCCAAATTTTTTAGAATATGTAGTATATATTCATATAATTTTTATTTATCCGCATATTTGTGTAAGCCCCAAAATTAGTCCAACTTATAAACTCAGATTAGCCCAAAAAATTAACATAATAGGCTGCTTTGTTTGCTATTGTTGAACGTGTAGTACAAAAGTCTAAGGAAGGAAGCGAAAATGTGGGAAATATCCTATTAGGGTGCCAGATAATCAAT